TACTTTCGTAAATTAAGGGGTGGGACGCTTCAGAGAAGAACCTGGTTATCGTACTCTGTGAAGACAGATAGTGTCTACTGCCTTGACTGCATTTTGTTTGGAAAAGCTGCTAACAAGAGCTTGCATCCGATATTCTCAACAAAAGGTTTCTGCGGTTGGAAGGACGGACTTTCTAAAATAATACTGCACGAGTCTTCTGACAGCCATTTTGATGCTTCGGCAAGATCAGGACTTCGGAAACTCACTGTGCCTTTAGATGACACACTAAAGGAACAAACTTAAAAGAAAAGGGCGGAGAATCGAGCAGTTGTTCGTCAACTTATTGATGTGACACTTTTTCTTGCCCAACATTGCATGGCGTTTAGAGGCCATAGTGAGGGTAAAACAGAAAAGTTTAGGGGCAATTTTTTTGATTTAACGTCATTGTTGGCAAAATATTCGCCTGCTCTTGCCACTTACCTTGTCAAATTACAAAAATCACGGAAAAAAATATGGAATTTTATGTCCCATAAAAGGCAGAACCAATTAATTAAGGCAATTAGTGAATTTATAAGGAAAAAAGTAGTTCAAGAAATAAATGATGCAGTTTTCTTCAGCGTATCCTTTGACGAATCTGTTGACTCTTCCCGAAAAGAGCAATGTACCTGCATCATCAGATACGTAAGAAATGACACTGGGACTGTAGCTGAGAGATTAGTAGCAGTTAAAGCATGTGCTGTTACCAGTGGTCAAAAGTTAAGGTGGATCCCCAATGGAGCAATCTTCGCTACCCATCACCCGTCACCCGTCACCCATCACTTGAGATTTCGTGTTTTTACAATGCGAAATACAATCATAAGGTGTATAGTCATATTTATTGTTCACACACATCCTAAGTCTTAACCACAAGCCGAGTTGTACGCGTAAATACACGAAATCGCGGATGATGGGTGATGGGTAGCGTAGATTGCGTCATTGGGGTTCCACCTTTATTTGAAGTTTTGAAATCAATATTTGAAGAACTGCAGCTGGACTGGACCACAAACCTTGTAGGGCAGGCATATGATGGCGCATCAAACATGCGTGGGCCTTATCTCGGTCTTCAAGCTCTTGTACGTGCAGAGGCCCAGAGTGCTGTCTACGACTCGTGTTGGGCGCATCGTCTCAGCTTGGCAGTGAAAGAAGCCGCCGGATGTTGTCTGGATGCAGGGAACCTGTTTGTCAAATTAAAGACAGTTTACAATGTGATTAATGGCAGTAAAAACAATGTGGACACTTATGAAGAGATTTTTAAGAAAACTTACCCAGGTAAACAAATTCTTCGCTTAAAGCGAGTTGACACAACTCGATGGATGTCACACAGCTTTGCTTTGTCAACCGTTCTCCGTGCCTTCGAAGCGATTGTGGAGACTCTGGAACACATCAAGACGAGTGAAACTTCATCAAACGACAATAAGCTCAATGCTAGTGCCCTTTTAGAGTATTTCATGTCAGAAAAGTTTTTACTTACAGCACTTACCTTCGAATCCATTTTCCATGAAGTAGAGCCATTGAGTACTTGCGTTGATGTCGACCTCATGGTTGCAGTTAATCACGTTGAGATCGTGCTGAACGCTCTCCGATCCCTTCGCAATGAAGAATCTTTTGCTGTCCTTTTGAGACGCAAGGATGAGTTCATCGCTTCAAGTGCCTTTGTTAAAGAGGCCTTCACAGCACTTCCAATCCCAACTGTTACTCATAGAACTCGGAGGAAGAGAAGACAGGACGGTGAACGTGCTGATGAACCTATACTCGATCCTGCAGTAAAATTTAGAGTAGAAACTTTCTATTCATCACTTGATAGTATCATAACATTAATTTCCGAGCGCTTTAATGACAGGTCGTCATCGGGATCAACATCAGGATCTTCTCCACGTCCAGGGGCTCCAGGAACTGGTGGCAAGGGTGGAAAAGGCCCTGCTACGTTGTATTCCTGATGTTGACGCACTGGCTCATCATGTTCAGGGTATTCCCTATGAACAGGTTTTGTTACAACTGTGATTTTGAAAAAGGGTTCGGGACATTTTATAGAAATTCTCTGCACATTTTTTCAGCTATAAATTATTTTAAGACACTCAATAGCTATTGATAGATATCAATAAGGTTTAGCTATTGAGGGACCTCGAAAAAGTGACCACTTTTACGACGAATGCCGAAAGGGTGTAAAGCGGCTGTGAAACGAATATGAGTTGGACGAGCGACGGCTCCGAGACGAACCATTCGTCTTATGACCGATTCCCAATCGTCTTGCGTCCCTCACTGTCAGGCGTCAGTGAGAGGCCTCACATTTGTACGGCATCCGTCCACGGTATTAGACCAATGTAAATGAAGTATTTTTTCACGAGATTCAAGACTTTC